CGAACGTATGTACGTACGTATCTCGCATAACTCAAAATTTTGTATATAGGACTGCTATAACATGTAGATGTGCCTCTCGTATTTTGGTTGCAATCGGCTGCACCAAATGTATATAAATATGTATATATATATATATATCCACTCTGTTACCCAGCTCAGTGATCTCAGTTTCATTACTCTTATATGTTTGTAAACTGTACATTTTTTGCTTTAAAAATGATTGTATTATGTTGTTTTTATCTTCCGGTTAAGGTTTTTAAGCCTTTAGTAAATCTGTATGCAATATTGTTAGAATTATTAACAATTTTAAAGTTGTCTAAGTGCCGCTAAGCCTTTTTATTATGGCGGCCATTGATGTTTAGATTTGAAACAGGAGACTAGTGGATTTGTTGCCAATCCAGTGAAACTTAGTTTCGAAACAACAAAGATAACGCATTCATTTATTATTGCCAATTAAATCATGCTTAATTCTTTCTGGAATTTTTCGAGGAAATAAGCGTTTAAGATTTACTTCGTAATTTTTAATATAGATATTTTGAGATTTATGTATTTTTGCCTTCTCGCGAAGTGAGAACTGAATTAATTAAATGAGAAATACTCAATCGTCTGTGAAAAACTATTTCTTTTTTGTTTTGTTTGCTTAATTTCTTTTATACATCATTCTAGCTTTATTATAGTATTTCAATAGAACATGCGGCAACAATTAGATAATTCTATTCTTTAAATGATATAAATTTTGTGCATAATGCGTTATAATATGAACGAAATATATAAGTTAACTGTTATATAATTATTGGATTATATAACAGTTAACTTAGTTTTTTCCGTTATATAATTATTATATAATTATTTGAATTTTATTTTATATATTATTCCTGTTATAATTATTTGAATATATAACAGTTACCTTGGTTTCCATTACATGATTATTATATAAGTTAACTGTTATATAATTATTAATACTGTTAAGTGAATCTAGCCGAAGAGTGTCGCTATGGTAAATAAATACTAGAGTGAATTTTAAAGAATGCATTTATTCTATTGTGGTTTATGCGCTGTCGGTGAAGTAGATTTAATTCAATCCAATAAGTTTAAATGAAATGCAAGAAAAAAATGCGTATAATTTAATATTCTGTACAAGAAAGTCATGTGGTGTACACATCAGATTTTTATATTACATACCTTCTCATAAGGTAAAGAAGTTTATGAGAACAATTTTCTATGTAGTGGGTGGGATGCTTATGTAAGCAAAAAATCCAAGTTTTCATACGGTTTACCCAAAGTAAAAATTTCAGTATGAAAGCATTTATTATGCTTTAATATTTAAATAAATAAAAATAAGATGCTCCATACATTTATCTGCAAAATTTGTAGAAATATTTGAGAATTTGATCACTTTTTGATGTCCATCTCCAATCAAATTTAGGGAGAAACTAGATAACAAAAGTGTTTCATTTTCCCTATATACAGTTCCAAATTTGATAAAATAGCACATTATTAAGTATATGGTAGGCCATATGAAAATACTAATTATGCTCATACCTAAAAGTTTTGCAGCATTTAATTTACAGTACAATAAATATCAACTACAAATTTTCATCTATCAAATTACATGAAAAGTACAATATTTATACGGTACAAAATCCAAAATCTGGATGTCCAGTATTCCAGAATGACCTAATATTTGGACCTCTGGATCACCAGCAGGCTTTCTTAAAAAAAAAAAAAAAAAAAAAAAAAAAAAAAAAAAAAAAAACCTACACTTCATGCTTAAGCATTAGATATTTTTTCATAATAAAACATATGGAGAGCCCATATTCTTAATTTAACTTCAGCACTGATGATAACCTGGCAAATCATTATTTATTGTTTTTCTTTTATCATCACATGTCTATCAACAAAATGCAGCTTGAGAAATGACTCATGCAGCTATGTCTAAACAATTTTTTTTACAAAATATAAATAAATGAATACCAAAGAGCATGGTAATCTTTTATATTGACATTGGACTTGGCAATGATTATAGACTATTATAGACTTTAACATGTGCAAGAAATAAATTTTGTAAATGATACTCATAGGCCAAAAGATTACATTTAATGCTGTTTCATTGAAAATAACTGAATTTGTTATCGAGTTAAGCCCAAGAACAGTGCCAGAGTTGATGCAGCTGCACAGGAGGGAGGGGGGCAAATTTAAGGAAGGTAACATTTTTAGAATTTAGAAAAGCATCGAGCAAGAAAATTAGGGGATGGCAAAATCTTCAGAATTTAGGAAAGGCAATGGGATGCAAAATTTTTAAAATTTAGGGAGTTATTTCCAGGCTTAACTCTGTTAGAGGGTGATAGAAGCAAGACAAAATTTATTGGAACAATATGTCTTTAGTCGTTAATCTCATGATACATCGTCGTCCACCAGCGGCCGAGCGGTAAAGGCGCTGAACACTAGTAGTTCGGTCCGAGGTTTGAATCCAGCGAACAGGCTGGCTGCATGGGCGTTTTCGTGGTTTTCTCAATGTGTAATGTGTATACGAGCCAGTTTCCCTTAGAAAGTCCTCCACGAAGGCATCCCTCCCTTTAGGCAGATAGCTCTCGTGTGCTTTGCCATAATTAAATAATCCAATCCCATACAAATCCATGATACCTCGTCAACAGTGTAGAGTGTCTCTGTGAAGATTGCCTCAAAGTTGTTGAGATATTCCAAACAATAAGTGAAATTTTCCAATTAATGGAATTTTTGAAGAAATGTGGAGAAGTGGTAATAAATGAAGGTGATAAGAGAAGTTTTTTATTGCATAGCAATGTCCCAATCAATTAATGGACTGCAAGATCTTTTTTACGGTTCTAAATTCAGAAAATATCACTACTGATAGTGAAGAAAAAGATAGAGATATACTCGAGAAAGAAATAATTTAGATTGACAATTTAGTGGGAATTCTCGACACAGCAATTACAGGACTTGAACAATGCAACTTTGTAATTGAACATGATATTATGTCTATTTAGAATTAAACAGAAAGTATTAGCACAAAAAACGAAGTGAATTAAACATATTAAACAGAAAGAATGCTTAATAGCAAATGTTTAAAGCAAATAAATAAATACTGAAGTTTATTTTGTAAATTTTGATTCCCTTAAAGTCATAAATGCTTCATTAGTTCATAAAGTAGTATATTGGATAAATAACTACTTTAAGAAAAAAAGTTTTTCCTTTTGAAGAATTTCTAGTTTTTATTTCCACATATATAAAATCACCTCAGTAGATATTTATCCAATCATAATAAAATCTGATACATTTCTATGATTCAATCATAATGAAATATGATAAATTTCAATGTACACTGGTCTTTTAAAAGAAATGATGCAGGCATTATTAAGAAGCGAAGTGGAGAGATATTAGCAGTATAGAAGCTAGCAGAAGAATAACGTAATTAGCTTGCCAAGGTAGTTATACCAAAGTAGGTGTGATTCTAGAGACAAGCTATGATTGGTTAATATTAGTTTTAGTTGCCCTTTTTCAGTAGCATTATATAATGTAAAAAGATTTCGAATTTGGAAGAACAGATGAATTTAGGGGGAGAGCACCAAATCTAGAATGTTAATTCTGAGGTTGGCAATTATTTTTTTAAAGCAGCTATCATATTTTGTTATAGTTTACACATACACACACATATATAATATATTTTTGTGTATAATATAGTTTATATACAGATATACTCCCCCCTAATGGTTGGTACTTGGCTGTTTAGCACTGGCCACTCTTAAAGCCAGAAGTGGTGGCCATTGTCTCCTATGAAGGGATGGATAGTTAAAACCATTTCTTTCCAGAATTCAGGCCTTTCGGTACCGCAGTAGGATCCCCTAATCACTATACCATATAAGTGGCATTATAAGTTATTCATTATTTATCATAACAATACTCAATATTCTAAATATTATATATTTTTTATATTATGCTTGAAAAACTTTATGTTTACCATATTCTCTATCAATTTTTCAAATTTTTTTCATTCATTTTTCCATCACTCAAAATAATTATTAAAATAACTCAGAAATATAATTATTAGTAGAGTAATTTTTAATAATCTTCCCTAAACAAAATAATTACAGAGTTTTAAATTCATTATTTAATTTACTATATATAATTAAATATTAAATCTTTTTTCCTAATGATAAATTTTTAAAATCCAATAAAATAAAACAGCATTATGTGTCCAAATTGCAAAATAATAATAAAAATGAGCAATTCCTATATGATTATAGACACAAACGTAATAAAGAAGGGTGTAGATCATGTTCATTCTGATATGCAATTTATAAGAATGTGCCATTCAAAGAACTCTTTTATTAAGAAATAAAATGCATTAATTTTTCACAGTGACTATATTTCACTATAACTACACATTTAAATGCCATCACTATCATTAATATCACCATCTGCCATATACGAAAGTATTTGTGACTTCTCATCCATATTATCAAACCATGCACACATACATAAACAATAATGGTATATACAAATATAACAAACCATTCATGTAGATATTTATACGATATTTTAAATATTTCCATACTTAGGAAGTTCATTTCTCAAAATTAGTGCTGGGTTAAGAACCACAATATGAGAAATATAGCATTAACCAATATCATATATTAAATTTAGAATACATATAAATTAATCCTACATTACTTTTTATTTAACTAATAGATTAGCTAAAGCAACTAAACATGGTCAAATCCTTGTCACAGAACAACAAAAAAAAATTTAATTCAGTATTCATTACTTGGCTTTTAGTGAATTGATATTAATATTTCAAACATAAAGAAATCCTTTATTTATTATATTAAAAATAAGCACATATTAATTAAAATCCATAATTAAATAATGCTATGGAATTACACTAAAAATAAGCGCATATTTAATTCAAGGAAAAAATTTAATGCATAGCAATCCTAAGAATGTCATTCAGTGATAGAAAAAAAAAAGTTAATAAGATTCACCTTTTCCACTTATCATTTCATTTACAAGATGTATTGAATTATCAACAACAGGTTCTTTCTTGTCCAGCAGTTTTCGGCATAATACTTGAGCAAACCGTTCAATAAGATCATCAGCCATATGGAAAGGGTAATCATTATTCAAATTTACTATGCATTTCAGATGATTTATGACTTCTGATAGAAACTGAAATAAATAAATAAATAAAAACTCTTAACATAAGTTATTAATTTTAAGGTATTTTTTGATCAGTTAACATGACACAGCACTTTCAATCATGCATTTTCTATGATGGATTACACATATAGATAATATTATGATATAGACTACAGATGTGAGAAACTGATTCAGCCCTTTATTTCGCAATAATATTAATAAAAGGTTTAAATAGGAATAATTTTAAACGATGTATGAAATACTATGCTAGCAACTAGGTTGGAAGAAAATTTTGAATTCTTTTATTACTTGACTTTCCCTTCTTCAATTCATAAAATTTATTGATTAGAAACTACATTTTACAGTTAAATTACAAAAATCTGCAAAACTGTAAAATCGTTTTTAACTAGTAGATCATAATCTTACTCTAACCATTTAACAAAATCTCCCTCCCCACTAAATTTTAATTGAACAAACTTAACTGCCAATGGTGGAAAACTTTAAAAAAATTCATAAAAAGCTATGGAGATAAAATATGCATAAAATAAATGAACAAAAGTAGCACATAAATGAAAAAATATAATATAAAAAAGGCAACTTACATTGCTATCATTTGATGGAGTTTCTAAAAAGTTCAGTAAGTATTCAAAAATTAACAGTTGTGTAGTTATATTCATTTTTGAAAAAACTGTAAGAACAAAATAAAACATCATAATAATCACTACACAGCAGACAAAAAATGTGATTAAAAACATCATTGATAAACCAAAAATAAACAAGGAATTTAGAATGATTCAGCTGATATTGAAGACCATTACTCCGTGCCACCTTAGCCATAGCTGTTACTCATTTAGCACCACACAAGAGGCACGTGTGAATTAAGGATATGACGGACATGAGTAACATTGTCTACCCCATAAGGCATTAACGCCTGTATATTTGAAGACGATGTTATTTGGACAGAAGCTGAAAATTCCAGAAAATACGAAGACCAAAGGAAAAAAATTGAAGTTATAATGAAAAAAGTCCTGCAGACCTAGTCCAAAGAGAAACAATATGATTATAAATAAAAACAAAAAAAGTTTACCAGTTCTTAGACACGTGAATAGAGACTTTGAATTAAAAATAGACAATGCTACTCTTCAAGAAAGCGCTAGTATCACATATCTAGGTGTACTGCTGGACAACAAATTAAACTTTACTAATCATGTGAATATTGTTATAAAAAAGTAGTGAAAAGATCCTCAATTTTGAAAGGACTAGCCCATATGAGGAAGCTCAGAGACTACCATAAGTAAAACATACAACACTTATATTAAACCTATTTTCAAATATGGAAGCAAGGTGTTAATCTCTACCACACGAGAGAAGATTGACTCTTTGGAAAGAGCCCAAAGCAAAGCTCTTCGGATTATCACACAAGCAGTGAAAACTACCTCGATTGTAGCTACGCAAAGCTATACTTCCAACCCACGAATTGTTACTGAAATCAAGAAACAAACAGTTGGTACATTCGTTAAAATGAAAACATTGCATAGAGCGCAATGGATGAATGAATGCAAACCAAGTACTACGAAGACCTAAATGTTTCCCAAAGAGGCTTGTTAGAAATTATTACAAGAAATAGATGAAAACAAACCACTGAATTGTAACAAGGTCATGGTTAATCCCCTTGAATATATTGATATCAAATATCAGCTAGATATTAATGATTTGGGAAAGAAAAATATTCCTGATGCAATATTAAAATCAAACATGTATGCTATATGAACAATTCCTTGAACCTGGACTAGAGTATACACTGATGGCTCTAAAATACAAGACAACACTGTGGCTGGTGTATATAATAAACTTTTTTCCCAATATACTCTTGTGGGACACTTGATGTCAAATTTTGATGCAGAAATCATTGAAATCTAACTGGTTCTGGAAAACCTCAAGGTAAAGATCGACTGTTTCTCTAAAGCAGTTATTCTAGTCGAGTCCAAAGCAGCCATCCAGGCTGTAGATATAAATCATGACCCAGATACCCAGATTATCTCAGAAATAAGACAGACCTTGAACTTTCTTAATAAACATAACAAAAAAATCGCTTTTCAATGGATCCCTTCACATGTAAGTATCCATGGTAATGAAAAGACTAGCCCAGAGAGGAATACTTGAGCCACAAGACAGCAAACCAGAGTCCTCCCCAGTCCCTTAAAAAGGATATTTTTGAGAAATTAATGGATACTCTGAAATCTGACCAGGCAACAAAATCAACAAGCAAATCCTGGGCTAACATTCAATACACATGGAAAAAGTTTTAAGAGGCTGTGGCAAGCTTCAGACTGCAAACAGGCCACGATTGCATGGCACATCATATTAATAAAATTGGCATCTTTCCATCTAGTATATGCCAAATTTGCAATTCGGGCATCATAAATGCTGAAGATCTTCTTATACGCCCAGAACTAGATAAAGAGTCTCAGAAACATGATGAGATAAGTAAACTATACTGGAATGCCAGAGTTTTCATGAACTCATTGTAAAGACTACATCTCTTATGTTCTTTTCCTTGTTGTTTAACTTTTTAACTTTTTACTTTTGCTCCCATGTTCATTTATTCTTATTCTTACTTTAATGCTTGTTCTTTTTTTTTTTTTTTTTTTTTATCATATATCATTGTTCTTGTGTGATACTTGAGCTGTTTTATATGTTTGGAATGATTTTTACAATAAAGCCATATGTAACAACAACATATTGAAGATCATAGTTTTTACTATAACAATAACAATAACAATAAACAAAGTGCAGGAAAAGAACTATAACAAATCTTGCCTTTCAGTTTATGCATACTCTATGTAGTTTTTTTACAGATAAGCAATGTCTAAGAAATATTCAAACTCATTCCTTATTTACTCAAGTATGTACCTTTCATTGACTCTACAGCAGTAAAAATGCAATTTTTAAGTTCATATAGATCTGTAAGGAGAAAAAGTATGTATACAGCTGGGCACTGCAAAAACTGCACAAGCTTAAAAATCATAAAACTGAATTGAGCCCTGAAGTACAGGCTAGAGTGAACATGAGATGTATTTGAATATTGTCCTGAAAAATTGTTTGTGTAAAAATAATAAGCCAGACAACACTTTTAAAGTTAATAATGAAACCTGACCAATTTTTTTTCCCTATTAGACATACTGCTGATTTTCTTGCATCAGCAACTTCCAAAAGTCAAATGAATCATTCTGTATTATCCTGTACAATGATGAGAAAACTATCATGCTATAAACCTATGTTTATACACAGTCAGTATAAAGAGAGACATAAAAATTACACAAACACAGTTAGAATCAATTATACCGTACAAACGCTTTTGGAGATCTTATATTACTGATCTATGTAAAAGAACGTGATAAATGATTCTCATTTTCTGAATAATTCTTTAATAGCATACAAATGTTCCTCTAGTGCAGTGGTTCCTAAGGTTACCTAAAGCATGATTACCTTTTGACAAAAAATCTGTTTGGGTCCCCCAATTTCTCCTAACTCTTCACTCGAAATAAAATAGTGACAACAGAAATGGCTTAAATAAATTTATTTATTTTTTCCAAATCTTATTTAACTTTAAACCACTGAAAATTAAAGAATAATTTTGATGCAGTCCGTCCTACTAGTAGCTTTGCTATACTACTATTTACGAGGCGTATTCGGAAACTAAGTACCGTTTTGGGGAAAAAAAAAAAAAAAAAAAAAAAAAAAAATAGTAAAACAATTTTTCGAATCAAATTTTATTTTTACATGAAAATACATGTCTTAAACTATTTTTCAACACAGTTTCCGCCAACGATCAAACACTTGTCATAGCGGGTGACCAGTTTTTGTATACCATCGTCAAAGAAACTTCCCGCCAGTTTCGATAACCACAACTCCACAGCATTTTTCGTGTCATTGTCAGATCCAAAGCGATTGCCACCAAGCTCGCGCTTCATGTGCAGGAACAAGTGATAGTCGGACGGCACCAAGTCCGGGCTGTACGGCGGGTGATCGAACTGCTCCCAATGAAACTGTTGAATTAATGATTGAGTGATACACCACTTTTCTGTTTGCAATAATTTTATTTACAGTATTGAAATAAATGATTTAATAAGGCATTTTTTTGCTTTACTTTGGAACTCTTCTCAAGACTCCCACTTTGAGCTACTGTTCACTACTGTTCTGATGCAAATGACAATCTACATACCTAAGGCATCAACTCCATCAATCGCTAGGAAGTTGCTGGTCAATTTAATACTATCAATAATTCTAGTCAAGCACTTTGAACCTGATTCATAGGTCTGTATCACTGCTCAATAGTTCTCTAGGAGATTTAGTGAGATTTAAACCCAAGGACACTCAATGGTCTGCAACCCAGATGAATATTTAAGCCATACCTAGATAGACCAGTGGAGCTGTATTCTGTCCTAGTGTAATTAAATCCTTGTTGTCAGAATGCATGAGTACAGTCAAAAGTCGTTAATTCGGACACCCATAATCCGGACCTCAAAGCTACAAACTTTCTGCGCATGCGTCGCGTTCACGCATGCGCACAGGCGTTTACGAGAGCGCGTAAGACCCTTACGGCTGCGAATATGTTTGTGCGCATGCGCGTTTAATGTGTAACGGAGTTCTACGCTAAGCTAAAGTTATCTAATTCAGTTAATGTTGCAGATTGCGTTGTTCCTTAATCTTCGAATTGGATCCGGCTTATTATTTTTTGCAGACTGTTAGAGCAGTTTTATAAAAGTAAGCTTGAACTTTCGATTATGTCAAATAGAATTCCGATATATATTTACTACAAAGCGAAAGTATGTTTTGAAATCCGAAATCTGTTTATCAATTTCACGCTGCTCTGCGGCAGAGGGGGGGGAGAAACGTTATTATTAGATTATGATAGATTAGAAAGATTATGTCAAATAGAATTTCCAATATATATTTACTAATATGTAATTTGTATCTACAAAGCGAAAGTATGTTTTGAAATCCGAAATCTGTTTATCAACTTCACGCCGCGGATTGGAAGTTGATCTGTCCAACACTATCCTTTATCTTCAGAGCAGATGTTTTTATTTTATTTGGATATAATTCAGTACTAAGTTTTAGTATTTCATCTCGATGTACTCCGTCTTTGATATGATTTAAATCAAGTTCCTTCCTCGTCATTATAATTCGCTTCCGATAGTGAAGAAGTGACCCAGAGGTTATTGAAAACGAAAACATTTCGATTGACAATTAGTCGGTATTCTCAACACAACAGCAATTATAGGACTTGAACAGCGGAACTTTGTAACTAAACAAGAAATTATGTCTGTTTAATGGAATTAAAGAGAAAGTATTATCACATGAAACGCAAGCAACTTACATTGAAGGAAATTGTTTAATAAAGTAAAACAAATAAATATTAAGTTTTTTTTTCTTTTTGTAAATTTTGATACCCTTTAGATCATAATTGTTCTTTATTTCATAAATTATGGTTTCATATTTTTAATTTTGTAATTTTTGCATGCCATCTTACCAGATTTAAACTGATGATCTATAATCCGGAAAAATCGATAATCCGGAATCGCCGAAGTCCCGACGAGTCCGGATTAACGACTTTTGACTGTATATAAAAGCATGCAGATTCGATCAGCGTACTTAGGTAAGATACAATATTAATGTAAGCATTTGAAAATGTTTTAAATTTTTGATTGTATTTTTTCAGTATTGTTATAGTATTTTGTATTGTTTTATTTCATTACTTTACTTTTTTATTGCTTTCAGAATTCATTTTATGATTTATTATGGATTTAATCTAATTTTTGGTCACATGCATGTATATAAGTATTCATTTGTCTGGCTTTTAAATGTACCGGAAAAATGGCTGAAGGGAACACCAAACATTAAATTTAAAAACTGCGTAGAATTTTACTCTGCAGAACAACTTCACAAAAAAAAAAAAAAAAAAAAAAAAAGTTATTACATATAACAAAATTACAATGAAATAAGCAATATCCCTTAATACAAATATTAATTATCCTAATAAAAAAATTAACCAACTTTCCGTTGAAGAAAAAAAATCATGCAAAACTTTTCAATACCTTACAAATAGTGAAATAAGCAGAAAATAACATGAAAGGAACTCAAAAATCGGTACTAATCTGTTTCGAGGGCCGTAAATAAATCATCAAATTATCATTGATGCCAATGCTGCCAAAAAGAATTGTGGCAAACCTAATAATTGTGGCAAGAAAAGAAGTATAATAGTAAATAACTATCTAAGATTGATGTTTTAATTTAGATGAAAGGTTAATTTCATATAATACATTTTTATTATTATAATTTATATGAAAAAGGCTAAACATGACTGAATGGAAGCATAAAAGTAAATAACTATTTCAGACCATTATTATAATTTATAGAAAAATTGCTAAACATAACTGAATGGATGCCTGCATTGCTATTTCGCTACCGACATATCGCTAAAGCATAATTTCATCTCGTTGGTTGTTCTAACGTAATTTTCTATAATGAATGATGCCTTTTCTTTGAAAATATTCTCGGTAGAGTGCAGAATCGCTCACTTATTTGTTTGCCGCTTTTTACAAGGGTAAAAACAATTGAATTTTTGTCAATTTTCTTTTACTTTTTAAGTGAAAATAGGTCGATGTGTACATAGATAAAGTCAAGGGCGTGCACAGTGCCATTTTTCTGCAATTCTAGGATTTTTTTAAGTGAAAATAGGTTGATGCGCACATGGATACCGAGTATGTGCAATTCTTAAAAAACGAGTCAAGCAGTGGAAAAGATTCTGCATTTTACCCAAAATTCTATTGCCGACTTTTCGTCATGGGCAATTCCCAAACTGTTAAATCCATAGAATATCAAAAAGGGATTTAAAAATGAAACTAATATTTCAATGGCATCTTAAGAAGTATAGAACTATATAAACATACGCAATCTGAAATCAACGCATATGCTAGATTTGGCGCGCTGTTAAATGGGTGCGTTTGCTAGATTTGGCGCCTTTACGCATACATTTTCACTGCAATTTTCTTACGACCCTCAAAACAGAATAGTACCCAAAAAACAAAAAATTCCGCACAGAATTTTACTCTGCAGACATATATATATATATATATATATAAACAGTGACATAAGAAATAGAATGAAAAATTGTTGCCAAAGCCATATTTCTAAAAGAATGAAACTATTCAAAATGATGCAATTTCATCAAAAATCTATCAACAACAATAAGAAAGGAAAATTGTTGCCAAAATCACATTTTTAAAGATGTGAGAAGTGTACTCAGAAGCTTCATTAAAAAAATTTTAAAAATACAAAATATTATCATTTTCCGAAAATTCCTTTTGTAAAAGCAGTCGCAAGGATGAAAGTTTAACGTGTCCAAAAAAAATAAATAAATAAATAAATAAAATAAAATAAAATAAACTTTTTTAGAAAAAATCCTGTTGTAAAGGTGTTAAGCTCACTTTGTTAAATAAATTGGTATTTAGTCGATTTATTGAAACAAGAAATTTCTTTTAAGTCCCTAAAATAACTAAGTGCCTACGTTTCATGACGATGTGAAAATGGAGTGTGTAGAGTAAAATCTCACTTTCCTACAGTCCATTATGTCTCAAAATGACGCGATTTCGTCACAAAACATAAAATAAAAAAAATTCAAATTCGAATTTCGAAAAGATTGCTTCGAGGTGCACTGGCTCTTGTCTAGATGCACCTATGTACCAAATTTCGTAGCCGTGGGTCTATTAGCTTACGCGCAGCATGGACGAAAGACACACAGACAGACTCTTTCTTTTATTATATGTAGAGATGTAGAATTTTAGATTTTTTAATTCTGAGTGCAAGGGCTTTTGATGTCTAAAAATAACTCAATTAGAAGAAGAGATACAAGGCAATTTCATTAATAAAGGGTGTTGGTGACGATTTTCATCATCAAATTTGCGACACTTGTCAATTTCTAGCCAACTCAGTGATTTTCTGGAAGATTTGCGAAAACACATTTTCAAAGCCTATGACTGATTCTTTCAGAAGTTTCTAGAGCCCATGTGGCAGAGTATAAATACACATCAATGAGCTAAGGAGATCATCTGTGAATCAGCTGCGAGAGTTGCTGGTTAGCTGAACTATGAGTTAGGGTTTACTCTGAGAGCGATTTAAGAAACTTTATGGTTTATTTCTTGTGCTAAGGAGGCAATGCTAAATAGCTGCATTTTGCTCGAGTTATTTCCTGATATTACCATGCTGCATGTTCTATTCATTGCATCTATTTTCGTAATAAATTACCATTTCTTCCTGTTTATCTCGACTTACTATTTAAAGACACATTAACATTCAGTACTTATGTATTAGCACAATGACCTTGACACAGTTTGGTGATTTTTACGGAAGAAAAAGGGGATAGCGTGAATTTTCAGACCGCAACTTACAGATGTGGATACCTAAAGAACTGTTACATGCCTGGTTGCCAGAGTTTGGCGAGTTTTGAAAATTTCACAATTTCTACTAAGGTGTTTGCAATAATATGCAAGTACCCAAAATCCTGTATTTCATAACAATATTTAAGAACCTTTTTAAAAACATAGTGCATGCTTCTGAAAAGTATCCCATATTTTTCGAAAACCTACCACTGCTTGGAACAAAACCGATAAGGCAAGCCGGAACTATGATCCATGTTATAAATGCCACAAAGGTATCCTCCCAGATGCTAAGTGTAGAAGAAAAAAGGACATGTTTGATTATATCAGCAGTTCTCAACCTGTTTTGCTCTGTACCACTTTCACCATTGCTAGATCAGTCTCCTCTTTTTTTTACAAAACTCAAAAAATATATAAATATTTATTTAGATTTATATTACTTTTTCACGTGTTTTTACAAATTAAACAACAAAAAGTATGGAAAATGTTGATGAATACCAAACCTTGAACAAAAGTAGTTTTTTTGTATTTGTAAGCTAAAGCTTAATACTTAACAGCTAAATAAAAGGCTGACTGCATACCCCCTGAAATTATAAATTACCCCCTGACTGAGAACCCCTGGTTTGGCAGCTTGGCATTATATTGCAAAGTTCACTTCTGATGTTCCTGTATCACAGAAGGTAAAAATTGCTGACAACGAGCATTTATTAATGGCACATGAATAAGACTACAGCTTGTCTTTAGTATGTACTGTATTGTGCATTAACTGACATCCCTAGGGTTCCTGGTACCACCAGCTAGCAAGTGGTTAAGACCACTGATTGCTTGAAGATAGCAACAATAAATAACCTATCCATAGACCAGGGTTCAATCGAAGGCAAAGTGGCTGGCTGCATGGCTTTTCTGCTCTGGCATATGAATATGAATCAATTTCCTTATAAAGCCTACCACAAAGGCATCCCTACCCTTATGCAGACAACCCTCATATGCTTTGCCAAATTCTAATAACCTATGTTTCAAGATTGAACCCCATAAATAAGAGCTGCATAAATGCTGCCCTTCTATAGTGATTCTCATCATTAATGCATAGATAGTTGCCATTTACTCAAGTGCTGGTACTTTCATCTATAATGTATGCATTTAATTTGTAGAATACATTTCAAAATTACTATTTGTATTTAAAACTTTGCCTCAGATATTATAGGTTATTTATTCAATAGACAAAAATAACTTGAATATAAGATTTAAATATTTGAAAATAGAACATGATGTATAAAGAAATGAGCATACATACCTGGGATTGGAAAAAAAGATTTGAATAGCTGTAGAAGAGAAAGAAGAATTGTTCGATTTTCTAAACATGCATGCAACCAAGGATGAAGTTCTGATGCATTCTCAACACGTTTTTTTGTTAAAATATGGATGGCTGATATAACAGATTCGAGAGCCTATAAAAAAAAACTTCTTTTATCACAGAAGGCTCACATTTTTTATTATAAAACATTTACATTTGATAATTTTAAACATCCTGAGACATTTTTTAATAAGGAATGTTTTTTAAAAATTTGATGAGACTCTGTTCAGAATGCCCCCCTTTTCATTTTACTTTATTTACTAGAAAAACAGAATTTAGGTTAAATAATTTTCACAATAATGGCAAATACATATTTCAATTATTTAACAAATTTATTACAAGTATACTGCCATGTCAATACATAAGATTTAAATAGGCAAAATATTTTCATTACCACTATTGACTGCATTTGCGAAGTTTTAAATCTGAATTTTATTTTCATTTTTAAGAACTTAACAAAATGTTAGAATTTAAGAACAAACAAGATACCAGAGGAAAAAATGACACATTTTTATATATATTCTGCATTAATATTTTTTACTCCAGGTACCATTTCAACCAACTAAGTAAACTGTCAAATTTTCAGAATGTTCCAAACTCAGATAATCATACGCATAAAAAGTTTTCAGTTTTAATAAGTAACACTGTTCTATGCATTCTATTTGTCATATTCCATTTCTAAAGTTTTTTTTTGTTGTTGTAGATAAATTTTGATATTTTTAATCTAAATACAGTTTTAAAACATGCTGCAGAATTTGCCTGCAATGAAAAAACTGCAGTAAAATTCTGCACAAGCACAGTATTTTAAGATAAATCACTCATAAGAAATTCTACTTTGAATCAATTTTTAAAGCAATTTTCATTGGAACAAAGGAAATAAAACATGTTCAGAAGTAGGTTTATTGATTCATTTTTGGGATAAACACCTAATTAAATCATAAAATATCTACATAATATGCATTGTGCTAATACGTAAATATCAAACATTCTTGTGTATATTATACATGTTTGATACTGAGAGCAATTTATTTTCTCTTAATTTAAAAACACACCGGCTTCAGTAAGAAACAGTTTTAATAATACATTTCTTATATATCAGCTAAATTTAATACTATGTAAAACATAAGTGATGCTAATCTTGTGTGTACACCTACAGAAAAGGATCAGTTTATGAAAGATGAAGCAAAGGCTATTTCAGAATACATGATGCTTGATTTATATGGCAGTTACCACCCAGACAGATATTTATTTTACTGTATCATTTTCCCCACAACTTTTTAGTACAGCTGAACAGAGGCATTGGTCAGTTATTAAAAATTTGTTTATGTATATAAAGGGTACAGCTTTAGAACTCTCTTCAAATATACATCAGCCTATAAATATGAAAACATACTTGATGCTGATTATGCAGTAATTTAACAACTGGAAAGGCAGTATCTGGAATGGTGTTTAAACACAGTGCAGGAGTAATAGGTTGGGCAACTCATCAACAACATGTGATATTGAGTACCACTTAGGCAGAGGCAGAGTACGTTGAAGACAGCGAGGCTGTTAAGGAAGTCACCCAACTGAAATACAGTCAAAAGTCGTTAATCCAGACTCGTCGGGACTTTGGCGATTCCGGATTATCGATTTTTCCAGATTGTAGATCATCAGTTTAAATCTGGTAAGATGGCATGCAGAAATTATAAAATTAAAAATATGAAACCGTAATTTATGAAATAAAGAACAATTATGATCTAAAGGGTATCAAAATTTACAAAAAAAAAAGCTTAATATTTATTTGTTTACTTTATTAAACATTTGTTTCAATGTAAGTTGTTTGCTTCGTTTTCTGTGATAATACTTTCTCTTTAATTCTATAAACAGACATAATTTCTTGTTCAGTTACAGAGTTCCGCTGTTCAAGTCCCATAATTGCTGTGTCGAGAATACTGACTAATTTGTCAATCGAAATTTTTTCGTTTTCAATAACTTCTATGTCACTTTCTTCACTATCGGAAGCAAATTATAATGACGAGGAATTTGATTTAAATCATATCAAAGACGAAATACATCGAGATGAAATACTACATTTAGTAAGGAATTATAAGCCAAATAAAATGAAAACATCTGCCCTGAAGATAAGGATAGTGCTGACAGATCAACTTCCAATTTATTGCGCGCTGCGGCGTTGAAAACATCTGCCCTGAAGATACGGATAGTGGTGACAGATCAACTTCCTATTCATTGCGTGCCGGTCCCCCCCATCCTCCGCCGCAGAGCAGTGTGAAATTGATAAACAGATTTTGGAATGGTTAAGTCATTTTTTGCAGCAATTCCACTTTTGTTTAATGGACATCAAAACATACTTTTGCTTTGGTAGATCCTTTACATATTAGTAAATATATATCGGAAATTCTATTTGACATAATCGAAAGTTCAAGCTTACTTTTATAAAATTGCTCTAACAGTCTGCAAAAAAATAATAAGCCGGATCTAATTCGAAGATTAAGGAACAACGCAATCTGCAACATTAACTGAATTAGATAATTTTAGCTTAGCTTATACCGTCCGTTATACATTAAACGTGCATGCTCAAACTTATTTTGCGCATGCGCACACGCATATTCACAGCCATAAAGGTCTTACGCGCGGAGAAAGTTTGTAGCTTTGAGGTCCGGATTATAGATCATTCCGGATTAACGACTTTTGACTGTAGTTATTTGATGACACTGCTTCACTAAATGACATTTCCATACAAGTTGATGATGATAATGCTGTTTGTTTTCTTAAGCATTCAAAATTTCAGAATCATATTGGTATTAGGTACCAGTCTTCCCATGAAAAGCTTTTAAATAATGACTTTCATATTGTGCACCTTGTTAGTGTGAAATAAAAGAAAGAAATGCTGAACTACAAGTGATTGTTGATGAGTTAAGTACAGTATTAATAACAGTTCTCTCTAAATATGTATGGTTGAGTTTCCCTTCAACTTATATACATATAATAAATATGTGTAAGATATAATAAAATATGATGGCTACATTAAAAATAGTTAGCAACCTCAATTGACTATTCTAAATTTTATGTTCTCCCCTTAAGTTCATTTTCCCTCTCAAATTCAAGATCTTTCCAAATTACATAACGCTGCTTGCAAAGGGAACTAAAACCTAAAATTAACCAATCACAGCTTAGCTGTATATATGCTTCCAAAAATGGAACAGTAGGCATAAATGGGTTAACTTCTCCTGCCATGCGTAATTGTCTTTCTTATTCTGTATCTAAGAGCCCATGTTCATAAAACATATTATTGCTAATTATGATCTAGAACTATTTCATCTAAAAAAAAAAAAAAACTGATTTGATGTGCATCATCATGGAATAAAGTTATGTTTTGAAATCGTCTCTCTCTCTCTCAGTTTATAGGTTCCGGAAACCGCAACATTGAGTACAAAATATCGAAGAAAAAAATACTTACTGAATAATGACATCATAATTACCAAATAATAATGAGTCATAACGGAAATACCAAATTATTGACTTTAAAGTTTTCTCCCCTCTAATTTGCATCGAGGTAAAAAAGCAGACGATTCAGTCAACTCTTCTTTCAAGTTCATGATTCACATTGTTGTATTTTCTGAGCTTTGTTATTTCACAAGATTATTTAGTGCTGCCTTTTTTTTAATCCAGATATTTTGTGGATAAAATAAGAATATTTTTAATTTCAGCCTTTTTTAATACAATTACAGATAAGAAACGCACTCATGATTTTACTGCTGCAATGTTTAAAAAAGTAAACACGTTGTATTGACGGTAGTGCAAAAAGTGCAAATTCTGCAAAAGATGGAGACAGGCGCTACTCCTCGGTTTATAGCAGAATCGTATGGAATTGCGATACAATTGTGTATGATATAGAGAAAAATAAAGAAAAGCTGTTGAAATTTTACAGCAACAGTGATTCTAACACCGGAATTCAAAACCGGAAATCTTTGCATGAGGCGAAAACGGCAAATCTCGATGCTGTGTATATATAATACAATGAATAATATAATCAATTTATATATGTAATAGTAATTTGATGCACATAATAAGTTATTGCAATAATATATATAATAATTTAATTAAATATATCTAATACGCCTTATTTATTTTGCACTTTTAGTCTGAATATCATGATTTATCTTTCCTGTCCTGAAATCCGCAAAATCCTAAAATGCGCACAACCTCTGGTCCCAAGCTTTATGGATTTCTGGACTTCTACTGTATATAATATATATATATATATGTATACACATATATACTTACTAGGTGTTACATCAGTACAGCCCAAATTCTGCACGGCCCAATTCTTCATTAGGAATACATAAAAAATGCCTAAAGAACTGCAGCGGTACTTTCCATAGTTTTTAAGATAAATGTTTCTAAAAACAGTTTACAGACATCTTCACAAGTCAAGACAAGTCATTATTTTGTCAGTTGAAATTTCAGAATAATTTGAATAGTGCATCTGAAAATTATTTCTCAAGGTGAGCGATTTTTTAATACATTTTCATGAAAGGAAAAAATTTATTAAATGCTAATTTTAACATATATGATAGCTTAATTAATAATCTAAAACAGTACAAAAATTATGATGTTAGGATTTAAACCCTTTTTGTTTCTAAAGTTAGACTTAGCGATGCAAAATTCCCCATACCGTGGGACAATTCGCTGCAACTCCCATCCATCCTGAGGGAGCATGTTAAACAAACGTGCACCAACTCAGAAGGGTTAAAGAAAAGTTTAGCAGTATACATATTTTAATTCATCTAAAAATTCAAATATGCAATAGAATAATAATGTGAGACTTATAAATAAGTAATAGCAATACTAAGATGAGTTTACATCAAAATAATGATAAAAATGTAACATCAACTGTTGGATAAAAAATTATTAAATTACTAACCTGGGGATCCATAAAACATGAAAGTTCTGATAAAGCAGTAAGACAAGAATTTAGGAATAAAATGCAATTTGATTTCACTTTCATTAGGTTTAAAATGGAGAAGTACAATGTGCTGTTAAAAATGGGAAGTAAATCTTCTGCAGGGATGGCAGATCTGCTACTGGACAAAATATGCAAAGGCATGAGGATGAAACAGAGATGCTCTTTGGTGAGAGGTTTATATTTCTCTGATAGCCTAAAAATATTCACAGTATTCTTGTTTAATAAGGAACGCAATATTCAAATAGAAGAACAAAAAATATATGCAATTCTAACAATATACAGACTTATATAAACAAGAAATTTTTAATGAAAAGGTATGTTTCATACTATTTGAGAAACCGAAAAATTTACATGAAAAACACGAATAGTTTTTATATACTTATTCCTGCACTTGCAAATAAATTAAATTACTACTAACAACAAATAAAAGCTTGAAAAATAAAAAGCTTTCAAAAGATGTCATATGGTTTTAAAAATATTTATTTTTGACATGGATTGAAGATAATCTTATATTTATTTAGATGAAATGCTTCTTTTGTCAACAAATTTACAAATTCATACTCTAAACAAGATAACTTTCTCACTCTTAGACACATTAAACTTCCATGTGCAGAATTTTTCTTCATTACCTTTAGCAAAAAGGCTAAAAAGAAAACATGATTTTGCAATGAGTCACTATAAATGCATTGTTTCCCATTTCATTCAAGTCGCTTGCCAAAGTAAAGATATTTACTTTTCAAATTTAATGTCTGTTATCAATTAACAAACTAAGCTACCTAAAAGCAAAGATGCAGTTCTTAAGATTATTATTATTTTACTTTTTTTAACTCACTGATTTAAATAAAAATGCATTTTATTTACAATATATTTAATAAAAACAGTAAATATCTTTACCAAATTAACTAATTATCTACTTTTCCCATTTCAAATACAGAAAAGATATATAATGTTCGCATATCGGTCTAAATGTGTATTCATGTAATATCCCATAAAACCCACTGCACTATTCTACCTGCTCCCTCTCTACTGATGGACTATATTAAACTTTAAAAAAAGGCCAAAAATTATGTACTCTATTACCCTGAAGTTACATGAGAGGTGAGATTGATAAAAAGCAAAAAAGGCAGAATCTAACTTTTCCTTGGATATTATTTTAAGTAAATAGGTGCAAAGACTGGGGGAGGGGGATTGTTTAGAAGAGAAGGTATATAGTAAAGAATGTAGTTTCCATGCATATCAAAACAAAACATTATTAAAATAAATATGCAACATGTTACTTCAATCCTGTTGGCTTCATAAAATTTAACAAATTCTTCTAATGACTCAGTTTACAATTACAAAGTGGGAAAAAAGAATGTCAAACATTGTTCTTTGCTTTTTTTGCACCAAAAAACACAACACTGTCTGTGAACAGAACATTGTGAACACAATTATAATTTAATGTTTTTCTTGGAGTAGAGAAAAGATTTAGAGTATTTGGCATAAATTATTATGCTTTGATACATATTATTTCTTTAAAGCCAGTTCTAATATATATATATATATATATATATAAAGTAATGCTTTATTTACCAGCTTCTGAATAACTAATAATAATTTCAAAAGCAATTTAATTACAAACATAATTGTGCCAAAAAAAAAAAAAAAAAAAAAAAGGGAGTAGCTGCATAACTTCATCTCTGCATGAGTTGGTGCATTACTGTACATACAAAAATGCTGGTAACAAATATTTGCGAGCTTTTAGAATAAATGAAGATTAATTTTTGAGTCTGTTAGTTCAGCCTGCACCTTTCCAAATAGGAATGTTGAAAAAAAATTTTAAAATGAAAACATCTGTAGAAACTACTCCATTTTAGGAGTGACTATATATTGCAAAGAAAACAAACAAAAATATATCATCACATTAACATACACAATAAGAAATTTTTATGCTCAAAATCAAACGCCTTGTGATTTTTACCTAGCACAAAAAAAATCTATTAAATATGTCAAATCTGTTGATTAAAATGGATATATCCATTCATATACAATGAAAATAGTAAGAATTTGATACATCAATTGATAGAATTGTATTCAATAATAAGAAAATCTTAAAACTTAATGGACCAGATGCCTGATCTTATCGGCAAGCACTGAGGATGTAACAGAACACGAGATAAAAATATTAACACAGAGGTTTAATGATGGAATGGAATGAAAAGAATACTTTTATGAAGAGTCTAAAAACATCAAATGATCTTAATAACTTTAATATAATTCAAAATTAAAGTAAATACATTAAATAATGAAACTACTCTTAAAACATGCTTTGAATTAGTGAAAAATTATATCATTATTTTAAATTCATGAAATTTCTCAAATACCTTAAAAGTGATGATGTGAGATGTATACTAGGTACAAACAGTTGGTGATTTGCTAGTAACCTGATTACTTCTTTTATAGCTGGCTCTATGCTAGGATCACTATGAATATACAAAGAAAATAAAAAATTTCACAAAATAATGTAAAGAAAATATATGTATTTCTAGAAGACTTATGTGTTAGTAACTCATAAATAAATACCTAGAGAAGACAACTAGAAGAATGTCAGCAATCTTTTCACACATTTCACTTTCTTCTAATGATTGTGAGATATCATCACAAAGTCTTTGAATTAAATCAAAATCATTACAAAGAAGAACTCTAAGATACGGAAAATTCAAGAATTCTTTTAAAACCATAATACAGCATTCACTAACAGTCATCTCTTGCATATCTGTAATCTGAATTCCAGAAATAATTTGATTCATTATATTCCTGGTTGATTTGTTAAGCACTTCCTTCTGAGGTATTGATGAGAATTTTGAAGATGTCCACAATGGTACTGAAGTGTTGAAAAAATTCACTGCTCGCTTTCTAACATAAAAACTGGTGCACGAAAAACTTGACAGTACAAAATCAATGAGATCTAAAAATTTAATAAATAAAAGTAATTAGTACCTTTACACAATGTAAATGAACATAGTTATGAATATGTATGCAATTTCATTTATATAAAAAGCAATAATCTAATATAATAGTATTAATTGGTTAATATATATTAGTTAACAACATATAAAGTCATTCTTTGAGTCGGCTTGAAAGCACAGCATGTTAGGAACTTTCTGCTTTAGCTTTTAATGCACAGCTGTTTGGTTCCACGAACTGTTACTACTAAAAAAAAAAAACTAATTTACTTTTCTTACTTGGTTAGATACTTTGCTTTATTTTATTTTACTGAAAATGCTGGCAGTAAAATACCACTTAATTTTTAATCCCAGACAAGAATATAGGTTCTTTTTTTAGTACTTTTCTGTTTTGCAGGAGCAAATCTTGCCAAGCAGACTTTAATGGCGAGAACATACAGTATACACATAAAAAATGTTAGTTCTAAGAATTTTTTATTTTGAAGGCTTAAACCTTTTAATATCGTTTAAAATTTTGTAAAAAGCCAATAAATTTGTAAAAAGACATTAATTTAAGATTTTACTATGCTTTCATGGTTCAACATTCTGATTCGGCGGTTCATATGATGTGACCCCAAATGATCTCATCTCACATAAACTACACAACAAAAATCTAATTTTCTCAGTAATTATCTACATTAACTGCAAGTTAAATCTTAATTTGGAATACAAGTTTAAATGCAAGAATTATTTCAATTAATACAAATAGCTTACTCAGAAATTATGCAAAATTGCAGTGCTTTATTTTGCTAGTGCATTCTCATTAGAATTGATGAATTTAACGCTTGACTTTGCCTTTTCTATATTTTCGCCTTTGGGTGAACGGTGTGATTGCATCCTAATTGACTTAATTACTGCAAATGGCCTTGGCATAAAATTGAATTATCTGGTAAAAATTTCTGTGTAATTTGTAAACCAATATTGAAAGAAACAATCAATCTGATAAGAAATGGCTGCTATTTGTTTGGAAAATGAGGCTTAAAAGGTTACCAGGGAGGATATTCTGTTTGGCATCAGTTGTATCATTATTGGTGACTTTATCATCTGTGCCAGCAAAATGGAAAAGTACCTTAAAAAAAAAAAAAAAAAAAAAAAAAAAAAAAAAAAAAAAAAATCTTTGAAAATACAGTATAAGGTCCAAAAACTGACTTGTTGAGACTGACTCATTCGGTGATTCTGGATTTGGGATTTTTCTGGATTATGAGTTTAAATCTAGTAAGACAACATATAGAAATTATAAAATTAAAAATACTGTTACGAATTTGGTATTTAAAAAGCTAATGTTAGTTCAATTATAAATTAAATGGTTTTATTTCTCGTGCAGTGCAGCGCGTGACGAATATTAAGAGAAAGCTAAGCCGGAAAAATTAAAAATACAAGAGCGCGTGCGTTAAATAAATAAATATCTCTTTTTGATTTCGAGAAAGTGCTGGAAAATTCTAGCGCGTGATTTTAAAATCTTATAAAAGGAGGAAAACATCTCAGTTAGTAGTAGTTGCTTAATTTACTGTTGTTTAGAAAACTGCTCTTGTTGATTGTAGCGAATTCGCGGATTAGCGTTCTTTAGCTGTTTTGAATTACGTTCTAATGGACATTTGAGTAGTTAAAAGATAACTACTGTGAGATATTGTAATACTGCATGATAATTTGAGAAAATTTAAGCATTTTTGTTGTGATAATAATAAATTTTTGTTCATTTTTCATCGGACTTGTGCATTCATTTAGTAACGAATCCGTACGCACGCAACAATACGTAATAGTGGCTTATAAAATAATGAAGCATAAATGACCTTAAGGGAATCAAAATTTATACACATGCATATGAAAAAAACCTCAATATTTATTCGTTTTGCTTTATTAACATTTCTCTCCGTTTAAGTTAAACAACCTACACGGAAAGAAACTGCTTTTTTTGAGAAAATATTTTTTCTTTAATTTTACAGATAGGCATAATTTCTTGTTCAGTTACAAAGTTGCATTGCTTAAATCCTGATTTCTGTTACTTTCTTCACTATTGGCAGCGATTTTTTTTCTTGATTTAGAACCATTCAATGATGTTTCAATGCAGAATGATTCAGTCTGAGATGAAGGCCAAGCAATAAGTGGAGTCAAATCATTGATCAAACAGATTTTTTTACTAATAAATGATTGTTTCTTCAATAGGCAGGTATATTTCATTAGTGCCAAAATGAAATTAAGATACAGAACTCTCCACATTTTTTATTATGGTGTGGTGTATTTAATTATGGCAAAGCACACTAGGTCTGTCTGCCTAAGGGGAGGGATGCCTTCGTGGAGGACTTTCTAAGGGAAACTGGCTCGTATACACGTTACACATGGGGAAAACCCCGAAAACACCCATGCAGCCAGCCCGTTTGCGGGATTCGAACCTTGGACCGAACTGCCAGTGTTCAGTGACTTTACCGCTCGGCCACTGGTGGGCACATTTTTTTTTGTTATGAATAAAAATCAAATGCACATGTATAAAACGTACAAAAAATCAATAATAATAAAAGGTTTCTTGTAATTTAGAGGTCTGGATTTTGGATTTTGTACTGCATTTTAAAAAGACAAAATATTTCCTAAAGGTGGAATAATCTGTTAATTTATAAATACAAAAACATAAATTTTGTAATTACACGAGAAGGATGTTTATGTTCTCATCAGTAACATCAATTTTGAAAGGTAAAAAAATGTTGCATCAAGTGACTAGTAATCATGTAGTATGCGATCTTGTGGCACTAAAATTGGTTATTGCTTTAACAGTTTCTTTCGACAACATTTTATTGCAAGCTGGAATTTAAAAAAGTATTTTATTGTTGCCATTTAAGATATAAATAACTAACTGAAAAGTGGTTGATTGCATACTAAATGATTATCGAATGATTTGCTGAATAACCATGGTCTATAAACTCTTACTAAATGATGCTAATATTTGCTTGCTTTTACATAAAGTTAAAAAGAGTTACATGAAAGTATATATAATAGCATATTTATTTAAATTATACTATGTATAATGCCATACAGTTCTTAATTTTCAACATTTATTGCATGAATTAAATTTGGGAGCCTTCACATTTAAACATGCATATGATATATATTACACATATCAAAGTATGACTTCGTCCTTTTTGTTCTTAGCTCTATTGTTTGTAACCACTGTTGATAAGATTTTAATTAAGGTAAAATAACATGCCAAACAAATATCAATTTAGAAGTCAAACAAAAATGTTTTGTCTTATCACTATATCTTATATCGTTCATTTGCACTTTGGCAGCTGAGGATTATGGTTCGGTAAACCATCGAAACTAGTCCTGTGAAATTTACAGATATAACGCTGATTTTTGTTATCTGATTTCTAATTTAAGACTTTAGTTCTTCGTAACTTTTTGCCCAGCCATTGGAAGTAATATTTATATATATATTTTGCTTTGACTCCAATTATAATTTTAATTTTAGATGTTTTAAGTTTATATTATATCATATATATATATATATATATGATATATAAACTTAAAGCATCTAAAGTTAAAATTAAATTGGAATCAAAACAAAGCAATTCCTCAACAATATTAATTATTATACCTATGTATAAGAGGTGTAACACACATATCTAAACACATCAAATTTAAAATAAGAATTCATTAGTAGAACAAACTTGAAAAATAAAAATACAAAAGGAAAAATATATAAAATTATAAAAATTAATCTCCTTTTACTGAAACTTTAGAACTCATCAGGAGAATATGAATTAAAGTTTCATAAAAGTCAATTAAATATGTTTCGAAATATTGTTACGGATTTTGTATTTAATTTGCTAATTTTTAGTAGAATTGTTATTAAATTGTTTTATATCCCGTACAATGCTGTACGAGACTTATTTGAAGAGAAAGCTATGCTGGAAAAGTTAAAATACAGGAGCACGTGCATTTTTAATAAATAGATATCTCGTAAACGTACTCTTGCTATCCAGAAAAATCGAAATACGAAAATGATCTCGAGCATTTAAAAAGCTTATAAGACCTGGAGGAAAACATCTCAATTCAGTGTTTGTTTACATATTGCTGTTAATGATTTTAGCGAATTAGTGGTAAAATCGGATTAGCTTTCTCTGTTTTGAATTAAGTTCTGTTGAACGTTTTAGTAGTTTAAAAGATAACTACTGTGAGATATTAGGATATTGTACAAATATCTCTAAGGAAATTTAAGCATTTTGTTTTTATTTGTTGTGATAAGAATAAATTTTATTTACTTTTCATCGGACTTGTGCATTCAATTTATTATGAACCCGTACGCATGCAACAATATGTATGAAACTGTAATTCATTTTACATTGATGAGTTCTGATTTGGAGTTTCAGTAAAAGACAATTTTTATATTTTTATAATTCTACATATTTTTCCTTTTTGCATATTTTTTTTTTGACTTTGTTCTACTAATGAATTCTTATTTTAATTTTGATATGTTTAGAAATTGTGTCAAATCTCTTATACACGGTTGCAATTACAGTCAAGAGTCTTTAATCCAGAAGTCCATAATCCGGAATGGTCTATAATCCGGACCTCAAAGCTACAAACTCTCTGCGCATGCGTCAACGCATAATGCGTTAACACATGTGCATAATACCTTTATGTACGCGCATATGAATCTACGCATGCGCATAATACGTTTATGCATGCGCGTTTAATGTATAACAGACAATACAAGTTAAACTAAAAGTATCTAATTATCTATTTCAGTTAATGTTGCAGATTTTGTTGTTCCTTAATCTTCTAATTGGATCCAGCTTATTATTTTTTGCAGACTGTTAGAGCAATTTTATAAAAGTAAGCTTGAACTTTCGATTATGTCAAAAAGAATTTCCGATTCTGGAGCTACCAAAGGATCTACAAAGCGAAAGCATGTTCCGATGTCCATCAAAAAAAAAAAAAAAAAAAAAAAAAAAAAAAGTGGAATTGCTGC